TTTTCTCCCATGTGAACGAGGGGAAAGGCAGAGCCCGTGCAGTCACTTCTTTAGGGGGAGCGGTGACAGAGATGGTAATTTTTCAGCTGTCTAAGAACCTTTGGGGTCCATTCTATTCAATGAATGGTTTATGGTTTACGGTGGGCTGGGATTGTATGGAACCTCTTGAGGGGGAGATGGGACAGATGTGAGACCTGAGGGTTCAAAGGGCTACACTGACCAATGTGCCAGACTTTTGGGACAACAAGGATTAAGTGGTTTTCCTGACGGATTTCTAGGAAGAGATGAATGCAATATCCCCACTTCGGGTTATGCAGAAACCCACCCAACCGTTTGTAGCTACACCCTGAGGTGTGGGCCATTGTCTGCTGATCACCTGGTACATGAGGCCAAGATCAAAGGCCCAAGTATAGAAAGGAAAGATGGAACTGTTCTTGGTTTTGAATCTGAGACAGTCATGAATCTATAACCACGGGGAAAAGCCAGTTGCGGGTTTGAATGACTGATACCTACCGACACCTACAGGAGCTGGAGTTGGGGTGGCCTCTGATAAGCTAGTTAGCATGACGGGTTCTTTTGCTGTTTTTAATAGGTTTTCTCTGTTGTGCTTTCGCCTGGAGAATAACTGCATTTGCTTACAAAGAGCTGTGTGGTAACTCGTAACTGTGGCAATTACTGTAACTGTGCAATTAAGGAAAGCGCGGATGCAGCCTGGAAAGCAAAGAGCAGACGCGGCGTTTAGGCAGTCTGGCTTGCTGGGGATATCACAGTGTAGGCAGGGAACTGTGCAGCCTGGAAAAGCCCCAGTCGGGAGGAGAGAAACGCACATCACCGGCCAGGAGAGGTGATGGCTGAGGAGCCGGGAGCCTACAGTGAGTTGCCCTTGCTGAACCGTGGAGGGGGAACACAGGTGCAGCTTCGCTGAACTCTGACAGCTACCTCCTTACTCCCCTTAGCTATTCGCATTGACGGTCTTCTTTGAACCACAAAAAGTCTCATTCCAAACAAGTGCCTTACACAAAACCCTGGGTCCCAGTCAATGCCCGTTTCTCCCCCTCTGCTGCCCCTAGTGCCCATCGCCCAGCATGTTTTGGGTGGTGCTAGGTGGCCCCAGAGGAGCCTCATGGGATCGGGCCCCCCAGAAGAGCACAGTGGAGGACACGTCCCCAACTGCAGTTCAGACATCGCTCTGGGGCTGAGGTGTTTGGACACCTGGCAACCATGAGCACGTAGAGATGTAGACACCCAGGGAAATTTCACATCCCATACTCTGGTGCCAGGGGATTTAGGTGCCTACCGGGTTTGGCGGCAGCTGAGCAGGGTTTTGTGCATGCCAGCAGGGCCTGATCCTGGCACTTGGGAGTGCATCACTCCAAGGAGTGAGGCTGCTGACTCCCAATGAAATCAATGGATGTCAGGAGCCAAACTCCTTGTCAGCCTTTAGCTCTAGGGGCCTTTAGGTGCCTAAGCCCCTTTGTGAACCTAGCCCCTGGGGCTGGTCCATGGGAGTTGGGCACCTCATTCCCTTAGGTCTCTTGGAATAGCTCAGCCCCGCCTAATAGCAAAACAGGACACAGCTATTCCTCTCTCCTGACCGGGGATGTGGTGTTGATATCACAAGTTGGCAGACCCCCTTGGTCCTGTCTTAGGCGCATCGTTGGCTTGTGCTAAGCCCTTTGTGCTGGGGAGAGCTCCCCGTGCTATTGGCCTGAATGGACACAAACAGGGTCAGCGTCCGTTCCAAGGTCTGTTTTTTTAACAGTTGACATTACTGGTACTGGTTGCACAACACTGCCCATTCCGCAGTGTTAGCTGAGCCCGGGAGCCCCTCCTACCCCACTGGGCTCTATATAATGGGCAGCTATGGGGGGACAGCGTCAGCGATGCTCTGCAGACAGCTCGTCTATTCCCCAAAGGGACAGGAGCTGAGGAACCAGGGATTTGGCCAGGAGGAGACTACGCCATGGTTAGTTCTTAAGCTGATCTGAATCTTCAGGCTGGAGATCGCACAGATGTAGACAGAGGATGGCTCAGTTAACTGGCTGTGGGAGGGCAGAATGTCAGGTGGTGTTGGACAGGCGCAATTGCATGTCAGAGCCCTTGAGTCCTCTGCCCAGCTGTGGGAGGAGGGGAGGTCTAGGGGTTGGACTGGGGTAGCTGGAACTCAGGCTTTCTGGTTTCTGTCTCTAGCTCTTTGGAGGAGAAGGGAATCCAGTAAATTAGAGCAGTGGGGCTGGGAGGCAGGGCTCTTGGGTTCTAGCCCCAACTCTGGGAGAAGAAGACAATGAAGTAATTGGAGAAGGGGGTGGGGGTGTAGGAATCACAACACCTGGGTTCTAGCCCCAACTCTAGAATGGGAGTGCGGTCCAGTAGGTTAGAGAAGCCCTTCCAAATGGGTTCTCTCTACAGGGTAATTTTGGAGTGGAATCCATTTTAGTCAGGACTCATGGGTCCTATCTGCAGCTTGGTGGGGTGGGAAGTGGAGTCTAGTCATAAGAGTGTGTGTGGGGGGGTGGAATGCTGAGAGCCACGACACCTGAGTTCTATCTCCAACTCTAGGAAAGGAGTGGGGTCCAGAGGGTTAGAGTGGGGGGAGGGCTGGAAGCCAGGACTCCCCTCCCAGAGCTGGGGTTCTATCCCCAGATCTAGGAGGGGAGTGGGGTCTAGTGGATTAGAGCAGGAGGCTGGGGGGTGTGTGTTGAAACCCAGGACTCCTGTCTGTATGTAAGCAGGGGAATGGTCCCGCTATTGTGGGGAACATTCCTGGCTTCTGCACTACCCCGGTGAAGTGGGCTAGCGAAAGCATCTGAGTCCTTGCTCCTACTCCCCATCCACTCTCTTGTCTGGCAGAGTACTGATAAATCCCAACAAGGCTGAGACCAGGATTCTTGGGGGGCTCAACCCCCAACCCTGCTGTGGTCACCCAGGACAAGGGCTAGGGTGTCCCCACTCTGGGGTACTCTCTCTTGCACTGGGCACCTCCCTGACCCACTGATCATTTCAGACAATTTAAAGCAAATACAAGTTGTTTAATTAACAATTAATTTTAAAAAAAGAATAAGGAAAAATGGGAAAAGTTAAAGGAAACACATCACCCTGCTCTGTGGCCGGGAACATCACAACCAGTGTCTCTGGAACGTCAGGGCAGGTCACAGTCTGTTCCTTGTAGGTCCCAGGCTCCTTCTCCAGCTCTGGCTGTGCTGCAGGGACGCTGCGGGTAGGACACTTGCTCTGGTGGTGGCCACACGCTCTCAGGCTCTAGGTGGCAGGACCCTTCTTCCCAGCGTCACCCCGGCCCCGTCGGGGTTACGATCCCCCTCCCAGTCTGGCCTGCAGAGCGTCTTGGCTGAGACGTCTCCCTGTGCTGGGCCCACTGCCCAGGGTCCCCCACCCCCGCTCTCCCCAGCTGCTCACCGCACCTGGCTCCGGACTGCGCCAGCTCCAGCCCCAGCTCCGGCTCCTGCCTCAGCTCCAGCCCCACCACCTGCCCCAGCTCCAGCCCCACCACCTGCCCCAGCTCGGCTGCTGCTGCTCTGCCTCCCTGGGCTGCTTGTCTGGCCCCTCTGGCTCCGGTGGCTGCAGCTCTGCTCCTTCTGGGCTGTGCTCTGGTTCTGGTTGCTGCAGCTCTGCTCCCAGCAGCTCAGCTCGGGCCCCTGCTCTCTCCTTAGCTCCGCCCCCGTCTGTCTGACCCAGGCAATTCCAGCTCACAGGGAGCACAGGACCCCCCCCCCCAGCCTCCTGACTCCCTGATTAGCTGCCTGCCCTGTCAATCAGGCTGATCTGGAGCATTGGCCTCTCCCCATTGCCCCTGGGGACTGTCAGTCTCAGGCCCCTGATTTCCATTGACTCTTCCCCTTTTAGTGCTGGGAGCTAGCAACCAAAACACCCCATTGACTGTTAGTAAGGGGGCAACAGTCCCCTTACATTTGCTTGGCAAATGCTGCTTTAAGTTGCTGAACTTTTTCCTCTTGGATTTTTCCGGTGAATGCATCATATTTTTCACAGTGCATCGTGTTGTAGTGCCAACGCATGTGATACTCCTTGGGAACAGCAATCGTTTTCTGACAAATAAGGCATTGAATTGTATCTTCTACCTCTCAGAAAAAATATAAATTCTCCCATTTGTCTTGGAAAACTCTCTTTTCTTCCATGAGTGTTCTTTTTTTCAATGCTGAAGTCATTTCTGAGGTGTTTTAATAAAATATAAACACTCAGTAATGCACCTCACTCAAAGGACAAAAGGCACTTACTTTTAGAATTACTTTGGTTAAAGCCCACCCCCTCTGCCCCCGGCCCTGCCCCCACTCCACCCCTTCCATGAGGCCCCAACCCTGGCCCGCCTCTTCCCACCCCTTCCCCATCCCCATTCCAACCCCTTCCCCAAAGTCCAAGCCCCAATTCTGCCCCCTCCCTGCCCCATTCCAACCCCTTCCCCAAATACCCTCCCTGGCCCCGACTCTTCTCCGCCTCCTCCCCTGAGTGCGCCACATCCCCTCTCCTGCCCCCTCCCTCCCAGAAAGTCCTAAGCACTGCCAAACAGCTGTTTGGTGGCGGGAAGCACTGGGAGGGAGGTAGAGGAGTGGGTATGCAGTGTGCTCGGGAGGAGGAGGGGAGCTTGTCGGGCCGCAGAAAATAACTCTGGGGGACGCGTGTTTGAGACCCCTGGTGTAGAGTATGTATTATCCATGTGGGCGTGGAAACGGTGCGCCTTTTCCTCTCCGTGCCTCATTTTCCTCTCTGTAATATGGGGATCAAAACCCTTTCTCTGTTCACTTTACGTACTGAAAGTATAAGACATTCTGTCTGGCTCTGGGCAGCACCCAGAACAATGGGCACTTTGATCACGGTAGCGGTAATGAGGCATTGGGGTAGCATGGGCTGGCAGGGGGAGGTGTTTGGGCCCTGGAAGTGCCATGGAGGAGGCAGATACCCACCCTGCGCTGTCTCCATCCATCTCCCCCCTCTCTCCACTCCAGGTTGATCCAGTGACAGATGCAGCCATGGTCCCCAGGGGACCCCCCCTCATGTTCCTGCTGCCCCTTATCCTGCTGACTGTCGGCCCGGCCCAGCTCAGCGAAGGAGCCAGCTACCAGCAGTTTGCGAGACAACACGTCGACAACCCCAAGACCAGCGCCCGCAATGACCGGATCTACTGTGATCTCATGATGCAGCGCCGGGGCCTGACCCGCTCTGCCTGCAAACCCACCAACACCTTCATTGAGGCCCCCATAAACCAGCTCCAAGACATCTGTAAATATGCAGGGACACCCATTGGTGGTAATCTCTACGACAGCCACAGATCTTTTGACATCACCGTGTGCCAGGTTTTGCCTGGCTCCTACCCAGGGAACTGCAAATACCGGGCTGCAATTGGCAACACAAGGATCCGCGTGGGCTGTGAAGATCGGCTGCCCGTGCACTTAGAGCCAACGTACCTGCCCTAACCTGGGAGCATGGGACGCCCCTGTTCCCCACCCCACTTTGCTCATGGGCAGTCCTCTGTCACTGGGGGCTATCCTGCCCTGTCCCTTCCGCCCCCTCCACATGGAAAACGCCCGCCATGAATCCCCACAGGGATATTCAGCATCTCCTTATCCCACAGGCCGGCAGCTTGGGACCTGCAGGGGGATTTCCCATGCTGGGGGCCAGTTCCCATCCAGACGAGTGAAAATCTGGGCCCCTAGCCGCCCCCAGCTGGCACTGAGACCCTGAGCCTGGGCCAGCAGGATACAAACACAAATGGCTACCCCTAGTACTCATTATACAGTATAGCCGCCCCTTCCCCGCCTCCACCCTCTGCTGCCCCTAGTGCCCATTATACAGTATAGCCGCCCCTTCCCCACCCCCACCCTCTGCTGCCCCCAGTGCCCATTATACAGTATAGCCGCCCCTTCCCCACCCCCACCCTCTGCTG